GTTTACAATGAATTAATGTAGGCAGTTAATTTATGTATGTTGTCATATAGAAATATATGTTATTGTTTATTAATAAACAGTATACAGTGGTCCCACTGTTCATCCTTCACTGCCTCGCTTTTTCTCAGATTTTGTTATTGCACTGTACAACTTTCAACAATGCGCATTGTATTGTGCAGGTTGATTAACAAATCTCCTCCGTGTCGTTTCTCCTGCGCTTGCCAAATGTATCGTGTTTGGTTTTGATAACCATCACGTCTAATAGAAAAAACAGCACAAAAACACCCATAACTCATAACCGTCATTCGGAAATAGACACCTGCACTGGGAGGGAAAAAGGCGCACAAAAGTGGCACGTAGACAAAGATAAAATGCGGCGATCGTGGCTCAAGAGTTGGGAGTTTGCCTCGTAATCTGAAGGTTGCCGGTTCGAGCCCTGGCTCCGACAGTCTCGATCGTTGTGTCCTTGGGCAAGACACTTGACCCGTTGCCTACTGGTGGCAGCCTCGCCTCTGTCAGTGCGCCCCAGGGTGGCTGTGGCTACAATGTAGCTTGTGAAGGTGTGTGTGGATGACTGGATGTGTAAAGCGCTTTGGGGTCCTTAGGGACTAGTAAAGCGCTATACAAATACAGGCCATTTACCATTTTACTTTTACATTTTGAAATCTACAAAGGTTTGTACTTTGAGAATCCCGGCCTCGGATAAAGCGGATGAAGATGGATGGATGGATGGATGTTGTGGGCTTACTATTTTAGGCAGACTATTTTTTTCTGTAAGGAAATTGAGAAACTTTCTGCTATAGTAGTCAGACAAGCTTGACCCTTATTAAGTTACCTCTATTGCCTAGCCTTTCTGTATTCAGCCTTAATCACCCTGTTACTTCCACAAGGGAACAGATAGCTGCTATAAGGAACAAAACACAAAGCTGTTCTCCTTCTATTCAGAGGCAGGCTTCACTAAAGAAAGCTTGGCTGAATTGAAAAAAAGAAGAAGACAAAAACGTCTTCAAATGGATTTTTTAAACTCAGCTGCTGAGAAAAACACCACTTTTGTGCAACCTGCAAATTTTATAATAAGTGGATTTGTCGGCATACCTAATATTAGGTATTACTTTGTCTTTCTGTGTTTCATTTACATTTTTTCAGTGGTGGGAAACACAGCTGTGATGCTTATAATCATTTTTGACCATACATTAAGAAGTCCTAAATATATTGCAGTTTTTAATCTTGCATTTACAGACCTGTTAAGTAACTCTGCTTTGGTGCCAAAGGTTCTTGAAATTTCTCTGTTTAACCATCACTATATTTCTTACAACAACTGCTTGACATTCATGTTTTTCTGCTTCACTTTAATTTCAATGCAAGCTTTTAATCTGGTCGTTCTGTCCTTTGACAGAGTCATGGCTATCATGTATCCGTTGCACTATCAAATGAGAGTGAGCCACAAAATCATTCTGTCTTTGATTGCTTTTTTCTGGCTTCTTGCTATGGCTCTAACAGGAACTGCAGTTGGCCTTCTCACAAGACTATATTTTTGTGAATCTGTGGTTATTAATAGCTATTATTGTGACCATGGCCCTATATATCGGCTTGGCTGCAATGATGTTACCCCTAACAAAACAATTTCTGCTTGGTCAAGAGCTTTTGTTCTATGGCTTCCTCTGATATTTATCCTGGGAAGTTACTGCTGTATAGGTTATTCTTTGTCAAGAATTTCTACATGTAAGGAAAGAGTGAAGGCTTTGAAAACCTGTACAGGTCACCTTTCATTAGTGGCAATATATTTCATTCCTATTTTAGTTGTTTATAGTTTTGGGAGTACAATGCATCCAAATGCAAGGATTGTAAACCTATCTTTAGCCAGTGTCACCCCTCCCATGTTAAACCCAATAATCTATTTCCTTCAAACTGCAGAAATAAAAAAATCTTTGAAACGGTTGTTAAAAGCTAAAATACAAATATCACACAGAGTGCTGTAGTTTAATGAAACACATGTAGCAAAACATTTATAATTCAGTGTGTAAGTTAAAAAATGTAACATATAACCATGACACTAAAAAGGACAACCATTTGAAAATTAAAGTGGGAAATCGTAAAATAAGTAAAGTAATATTTTATTTGAATGTTTCTTAATTGTATTCTGCAGGGGTAATTCCTTCCCTTAACATGTAGAAATTATTGCAACTGTATCCAATGAAAAAAGTAGCAGCAGGACTAACCTTTCTTCACTATACCTTTCCACAAGCAATAGCTAGCTGCTGTGCATATGAAGTTTGTTTGGGTTTTTTTTTTTTTTTTTTTTTCATGTTTTTCATTAAAGAAATTAAAAGGGAAAAATAAATTTTGTTTTTCTAGAAAGAATACTAAAGGCTTGAAATTTTGGGCATCTTTCTAATTTCAATGCATTATACGTACACCAGGAAAAATTATTTGAGTTTTATGTTGTGATTTATGAACTTTTTGTAATAATCTTGGGTTAAATGTAAGTGTTGCCATTTTAGAACATAATGCACCATTGTTTAAAGCAGACCTTCCCAAAGTGTGGGGTCCGCCCCCTAGTGGGGGGCGCAGAGCCATTGCAGGGGGGGGAAACAAAACGCTTGGACACTGCTAGCACTGGGCGCCCACAGAAACGCAAAGCAGGAGATGAAGCATAGCTGAATATGTTTCCAAACCAACTTCATTCTAAGCCAAAGACTAGAAAATATGGTGAAGCATATCTTCCCTTTGGTTTCACCTGCACGAGTGTCGAGGTAGGTCTCCCCTGCAGAATTGGTTTTCTGTGTGTCGGGAGCACGTGCTGGGCTCTCCAAATCACGGACAAACAGTATCCTACAGTTGTTTATGTTTTTAAACCCATTTTGCACAGAGAGGCGTTTTTTTGAAAAATGCATTGATAGCAATGTTGAATATTATTACACATGAAAAAAAACAACTACAGTAAAATAATCACACCGTGACGCCTCTGCCTTTCTAAATGGAGGGACAGTAACTGCGTGTGTATATGTAAGCGTGTAAATCCTGAAGATTTTGAACATTTTTCTTGTAAAACAAAGGGGGGCCTAGCAAAAAAAGTTTGGGAACCACTGGTTTAAAGTATACTTTTTTAAAACAGGTATGTAGAGAAACATATTTTCTCTTCTATACTTTGTTTTATCGGAGTTCACACTGAAACTAAAAGTAACTTGCTAAAGATGTTTATTTATTGTTTGATCTAAGAATATTTCAGCATGTACTCCTGCCTTTGTCTGTCATGAAAATGTATATATATTACTGCAAATACCATTTTAACAAGTCTGACCAATTTTTTAATAAAATGTGAAGATCTGACCAAACTGAAAGAAAGCTAGAAATGTCAAGCAAGCTCAACCATTACTTAGTGACCACTATTCACTAAATTCTCTGCATAAAGCTTAGATCACCTGATTTGAAGATGCCGGGGAACAGACAGCTGCTGTGAGTGACAGAACAGTGTTGCATCTATGTGGATCCAGTCTTCACTAAACAAAGCTTGCCTGAACAAAGAATACAGGACTTTGATTTTATAGAAGATTAACACAAAAAAAGTTTTTATGTTTTCTTTTTTTTAAACTCAGCTGTTCAGAAAAACATATCTTTTGTGCATCTTACATATTTTAAGTACTGGCCATTCTTTCTTAATAATTTATACATATAGAGAAGAATGAAGGCTTTAAAACCTGCACAGGTCATCTTTAATTAAAATAAATCGATTTCCTCCTTAGTACATGTATATTTATTTATATATAGTACCTTCAAATGCTAGGATTATAAATACCTCTTTAACCTCTGTTATGTTGTATGAGCGTCATTGGGACTGGAGAAGCATGGTTGGATGGTAACAAATCATAACCATGGGGCCATTGGGACAACGGTCGCTAAATTGCACAACCAGAAGGCAACATTGGAGACATCGAGAATAGTTATGAGTGTCTTGGAATCCCACAGGCAAATGGGAACCGAAACAAGATCACCAGGAAAGCTGCAACTGGCAAATACCTGCATAGTGACAGGCAAGTCCTGAAGAGTCAGCTGAATGCAAAGAACAAGAATGGGACAATCAACATCTATGCCCTGCCAGTTAATAGATACCCTGCTGGGATAATAAGCTGGCCAAAAGAGGGAATAGAATCCACTGACATCAAGACAAGAAATCTCCTTGCGACAAATGGAGGGTTTCACGCCAGGTCCAGTACCATGAGATTGCACGCTAAGTGGAAGGACGGAGGCCGAGGACTAATGAATGTCAGAACCACTATCCAGCCATCTTTGTTATTTGAAACAACAAAGATTCAACTGACTATGTGCTTAGTGAATATCTCAGGCAGCAGAAACCTGAGAAAGAAAAGGAGATCCTAGAAACGACATCTGAGATCTCTGTCCAGAAGAATACAGTCCTAGGGACAGCAAAGACCCTCAACCTCCAAGGCCTCTGGTAGAGACCCTGAGATTGAAGGCTAAAAGTCTGCCCACATGGGCGAGTGGGGAAATTAAAAAATATATATATTAGTGTTCATCACAATATTTCTATAAAAACTTCAAAGTCATAGTTGTGCAAAGTTATAGACTGATGTGATAATAAAGTGTATCTTTTCACACTTTCCTGACTGCTGTTTATTTCTTACACTAATTGCTCATATAAAAACAGTAAACTAGTTGAAACATCATCCATCCAATTGCAACATGAAATATAAAAAATGCATTGACGGTTCTGTGTATATTTTTAACATGATTGCATTCAGATGTACTGAAATAAACTTCACATTTAATGATTTAAACGCATTTAAACACATTATTTACCAGATATCCAGAAGAAGACAGCTTCTCTTTAGCATCCTCTTTGAAAACAGGTAAACATAAACAGAGCTCTTCCCCCTGAGAGTAAGGTGCTTTCCTCCGTCTACATAAGAGTATAGAGTCGTGATACTAGCGCAAAGGAGAGGCATCTGTGTGGACATCACTGTGTTGTAGGCCTCTTTGCAATGGAGTTATTCAACTCAGCTCTTGGAAAAAACATAACTTTTGTACATCCTAAATTTTTCATTATAGGTGGTTTAACTGGAATCCCAAACATAACATTTTATTATGTCTTTCTATTTTTTGTTTATATTGTTTCTGTGGTGGGAAACACAGTTGTGATGGCTGTAATATACTTGGATCATAATCTGAGAACTCCAAAGTATATTGCAGTTTTTAACCTTGCATTTGTGGACCTGTTTGGTAACACTGCCCTGGTGCCAAAGGTTCTTGACATTTTTCTGTTTGGGCACTACTATATCCCCTACAACGATTGTTTAACATTCCTGTTTTTTTGCTACACTTGTCTATCACTGCAGTCATTTAATCTGGTGGCACTCTCGTATGACAGAATGGTGGCCATCATCTTTCCACTCCACTATCAAGTAAAGGTGACCCACAGGTTCATGTTTTCTTTCATTGCTTCACTTTGGGTTTTTACTATTATTGCTGTATTAATTTCAGTTGGACTACTTACAAGACTTTCTTTCTGTAAATCTGTGGTTATTAATAGTTATTTTTGTGACCATGGTCAGATATACCGACTTGCTTGCAATGACCATTTCCCAAGCTATGTCATTGCTTGTTTGTACCCAGTGATTATATTTTGGCTTCCTCTAGCTTTTATCCTGTTAAGTTACCTTTATATTGGCTATACGCTGGTTAAAGTGGCCACACTTCAAGAAGGACTCAAGGCTTTTAAAACATGCATTGGCCATCTTTCATTAGTGGCAATCTATTTTATTCCACTGTTAACTACGTTTACTTTGATGGAAAAAATACAACCAAATGCTAGGATCATAAACCTGTCTTTGACTTCGGTCTTCCCTCCCATGTTGAACCCAATAATTTATGTTCTGCAAACACAAGAAATAAAAGAATCTTTAAAAAGGTTATTAAAAAGGCGAGGAAAATCCAAAATAACAATTTAATACTAGCAGTGATGTGAGCATTTGTTTGCACTATATATTGTGTATGTTTGTGTTTCTTTGAAATCTGTCCTTTGAAATAGAATTTAAAGTAGAATTGTCTAATGTCATTATGAGTTAAGACTGGTTGCAATAAAAGAACAAGTAATTTCATAGGAATGGAGATGATTTTTTAAACAAAATGTAATCAACGATAACACAAAAAGTCTGTTAGGATGCACGTATTATTTGTGATCAAGGTGATTATGGGGTGTTTAAAAAGCAATAGTATCTAAAAAATCATTGAATGTCTCACCTATTTTTTTGTCTCTGTGTTGATAATCATTTCAAAACAGAACGCAATTATTTTATCTCGGTCTAATTTTCTTCTAGGTTTTTTTTATGAAGAAAGCAAAACATATATGCATTTTTTTTTTTTTACTTTTTCATATCCACGATTTCTAATAAATTCACAGTGCCAGCTTGTCTCTCTGTGAGGCAGCACAAAGGCAAACACTGCTTTGACTGAAAGCCAAATATCAGCATGTAAAATGCTTGCAATGGTAGTGCTGGTGTTTATAAGGTGGAAAGTTAAGTGATGTGATTACTTTTGTAGAATCAAAACATTGGAGAAGTTGAAATTTTTACTTGATAGTGACATTAGAAGTCAGGGGATTATTTAAAACTATCGTCTTACAGTCAGCTAGAGCCAACATCATGTAAATATTTAAAAAGTGATACAAGCTTAAAGAACTCCACTTTGACACTATCACAGATGATGCTGTTGGACACTGCATCAGTGTACTGATTGTGAGGTTGGGCCAAACTTTATATCCATAAATACATGATTGTGTTCACCCTGACTTACAGGTTTTGTATAGGAGCACAGCTCTCATTCATTTCTATTTGATATAAATGAATGAGAGCAAGCCTCAAATAAGTTGAAACTTCTTTGAGGCTTGCTTAAATGACCCGTTTTTCTTTTGTTCTTTGCAAGTATGCAGTTATGGATACATGTCACAGTGGCACGTGACAAATTTTTTAAAAATTGTTTTCCATTACGTGACAATTGGATTATTACCAGAAGAATCAGTCATTTCAATTTTGCGGTTTGTATGGATGCTTATTATAGTTACGAAGGCATCTACTGCTAGGCTTGTTTAATTTTTTTGCTTTTTTGTTATTATGGAGCAGTATATTGTTTGTGTCACGACTGGGGCAGCAGTCGTGTGATGAATAAATGAGGACCCAAGATGCAGACGGTGATGGAGATGTGAGTGGAGGTTTATTTACAGTGAAAATAACAGAAGTGAGGGCAGGACAGAACATAAACCTAAACTGGGTGAAACTAACAAACAAACCTGGAACATAAGGTCAGCGGGAGAAACTCAGAGATAGCAGATGAGGACGGCAGAACAGAGAGACGTAGAGAAACATAGGGAATGAACACAGACGACGCGACGAGGAGCACAGGCAGACACGCACTATAAATACATACACCAGGTAATTAGGAAATGGCAGACAGGCGGGGACACAGCTGGAACTAATGGACATAACGAGACACAACCTACAAAGTAAAACAGGAAACACACAGACTGTTTTACACAACCAACTGGGGACACGAACAGAACACAGAGGAGAGACACAGGTAGGGATGATAGAAACACACAACCCTAAGAACAAATACAAAATCAGAATAAACTAGAAAAATGATAATAATCAACTTAAAGCGCTGGGTCACCGACCCAGGACCATGACAGTTTGGCCTGAAATCTTTAAATAACATTATGGAAGTTTTGACATACAGTGCTAAAAAAAAGACGGCAGGTGGTGCTTAAACCTACCCTAGCCTACCCTTTGACCCTAGCCAAATGCAAAAGTAGGATAAAAAGCACACGTAAAACCTAGGGCTGCAACGATACACAAAATTCACGGTTCGGTTCGGTTCGATACTTTGGTGTCACGGTTCGATATTTTTTCGATACAAAAAAAATGTTCATGCCTTTTAATTTGTCATTTATTAAA